GGGAAGGGTGTGGGGTAACTAGGAATTGGCATGAGCTGGAGCAAAGGGAACTGCAGTGCAGACCTCAGGAAACACTTGTGAACTAAGTGCGAGAGCTATCAGGCTGCAGAATAGTCTCTCCCATGGGAAGCAGTGGAAGCCCCAATCACTGGAGACATTTCATATTAAACTGGACAGAGCTCTCACAAGCAGACTCCAGGGAGCAATTCCACATTGGCAGGGGATGGCAGAGATAGGAGCTGGTGCTTGCAGTCCTGCTCTCACTGGGGAGCATGCAGAACGGTGTACCAGCCGGTCCCAGGTGGTACAGGCCTGCCTTGGAGCATGCCGTCTGCACATGAGGGGTGCACAGGGGCAGATGTACCTCACTCCTCTGCCTCACCCCCATGCACAGCCCCCCAGCAGCCCTCCCACTCTCCCCAGCAGCTTTCCCCCACCCTGATCTCTCCTGCTGCACCTGCGGGGTCTCCTGTCCCCCGGATCTCCACCCCCAGTCGCGCACAGGCAGCAGCAGGCTGGGAGGCAGCCAGGGAGGAGACAGGGCTCTGCTTGTCCCTCTCTTCCCACTCTCCTCCCTCGCCCAGAAACCACCTCCTTGTGTGTTGCATACAACCCTCCTCTCCCTCTCCCTGCCTCTCAAGGTCACCTTCCTCGCCTGGGCTGGATTTTCACATATTGATTGCTTGGCTCTAGCAGCCGATGTCTCTGTGAGCTTCCAATCTCACGCCAGCTCAGCATCATGCCACTCTCTGGGAGAAGTAGCTCCATATGGGCCCCCTCCCCATCCATCCCACCCTCTCCTTGCCACTTCCCCACCCCTGCCCCTGCCCAGGCTGCAGCAGCAAGCTCCACAGAGCAGTCAAAGGAAGGTCTCGAAGGTGGGCAGGCAGGTAGCAGTGCCCTTCCCTGCTGCTGCTTTCTATGCAGAGGTCTCAGAGCCCAATGCTGGGGGGCTGGCACCCCCTTGTACAGATTCTTCACCTGTCCCTTGCCAAAACCCTCCCTGCTGGCCAGCCAGGACCTTGTCAGCTTCTCAGGCTCCCTGACACATGGTCTTGGCCTCTCTGGCTGAGAGCATGTTCTAGTAAGACCCTCCTAGGACCTGGACCATGCCTGGGGGAGGGACAGTGATGCCATAAGCTGTGCCCTGCTGAGACACTGATGTGGATCCT